TGCTCCCTGTGGGGTCCACTGTGTGAGGGATGATCCCTGTGGTGTCCACTGCTGTGTGGGTGCCTCCCTGTGGGGTCCACTGTGTGAGGGATGCTCCCTGTGGGGTCCACTGTGTGAGGGATGATCCCTGTGGTGTCCACTGCTGTGTGGGTGCTCCCTCTGGGGGTCCACTGTGTGAGGGATGCTCCCTGTGGTGTACACTGCTGTGTTGGTGCTCCTTGTGGGGTCCACTGTTGTGCGGGTGCTCCTTGTGGGGTCCACTGTTGTGTGGGTGCTCCCTGTGGGGTCCACTGTGTGAGGGTGCTCCCAGCACCCTGTGGGGACCCCTCCTCCACAGCCTCTTTTCTGTTGCAGTTCTTATTTGTTGACCACTCTCCAGCCCCCCAGGAACCCTCCCTTCTTATGGTGGTGTCATCTTGCCAAAGGCCCTTTCTCAATCACTCAAGCTGTTTGGTTTCCTGCAGAAGGGAGCAGGGTCTCCTGTGTCTCAGGCTGGTCTGGGACTCATTATCCAGTCATGGTTGACCTTCTGATCCTCCTGCCTCCACATTCCAGGCGCTGAGATTACAGCCACTTAAACCACATGTAGCCACCTTTGAACTTTAAAATCCTAAAGGCCATATCCCACCTTGACACTGGGGACTCTGATGTAATTGGTTCGGGGTGTGCCTAGACACTAGGATTAGAGATTAACATGTAGCAGTTTGAGAATTCTAGGTCTGTTCTTCTATTTTTCTATTCTTCTCTTTCTCTTTTTTAGGACAGGGCCTCACTGTGTCACCAGGCTGTGTAGACCAAAATGGCCTTCAATTCAGAGACCTGCCTATCTGGGAATTAAAGGCGTGGATCATTACTCCCAGTGTGACTTGTTTTTTGGTTTTGTTTTATTTTTTGAGATGGTCTCACAATTTGGCCTTGGCTGACCTGGAACTCGATATGTAGACCAGGCTGACCTCAACTCAGAGACTAATCTGCCTCTGCCTCCAGAGTGCTTGGATTAAAACTATTTTATATTTTAATTAAATTTATTTTAATCCAGGAATTAATTTAATTTAATTCAGGCATTTACCTTTAATCCCAGCATTTAGGAGGCAGAGGCAGGCAGATCTCTGGGAGTCTGAGGCCAGCTAGATATATAAAGTGAGTACTAGGCCAACCTGGTCTTTAGCATGTTTCAGTACAGCCAGGACTAAACATCGTGAGACACCATTTCAAAAAATGAATTAAAATCATTTCATTTATTATCATTTTGCATGTCATTTATCATTGTTATTTGTGTGAGAGAGTGGGTGCCTATATGGCCGAGCATGTGGGGGGGTCAGAGGACAATTACTAGAAGGGGGTTCTTGGTTTTGTTTTGTGAGTCTCATGTACCCCAGGTTGGCCTCAAACTCACTGTGTAGGTAAGGATGACTTCGAACTGCCAGTTCTCTGGCCTCCACCTCCCTGGAGCTGGAATAACAGCCCTCCCCACCATCACTGTTTTCTTAGCCACGGCATGAGCATTCCTATATGTAATTTTTATCACAGTTTTCGGAGACCTGTGCTTAGCTTGGACAGATGTTTTGTAAAGGAGGAGTAAAGTGTGGGCTTCAAAACACAGACACAAACCAGCCACCGGACAGAGATCCACGAAACCCTGGCAAGGACAGGAAAGGGGCAAATCTTGTCCTATTACCCTGTGCAGACAAATTTTCCATCCTGAAATGCAAGGGTATTTGTTTGAGACTAGGTGACAAGGTGGCCTCCCGTTGTTTATGTGGCCAAGGATAACCTGGGATTTCAGGTTCTCCTCCCTCCAGCTCCCCTGTGCTGATTACAGGCCAGAGCTGCCAGGCGCTGGGGATCAAACTCACTTCTTCATGGGTTCAGTCTAGTCCTCTCTCTGCCAACTGAACTACAACCCCAGCCCTGTAGAGCAAATACTGTCAGGTCAGGGGCAGGAGGCCTTAGAAGCTCCAGGCTAAGAAATTCACGGATGTCTGGATCTGTCCTGGTTATACGAATTTGGCAGACGCTGTTAGCACAAGTGCAGGCACCGAGCCCAAATCTGAGTGAACTCAGAATCAACCCTTTAGCCTCTCTGGGCTCCACCCTTAAGTGACAGCTCTCCCGGTGCAGTGAGCGAATAGGTTACACCTCTGCAGGCTGGCCAGGTCCTGCTCTGTCCTGGACAGTGCAGGGGCTTGGGGCTCCGGTCTCTCTGTGCGATGACATTGGCCTGCACGTGGCGCGTTTAGAACTACGCTCCGGGAGCACGCAGGGAGTTGGACTACACATCCCAACATTCCTCGGGCAAGGGAGGGGCGACACCGGAGGCTGACCAGGCCACCAGCCTGGAAGAGGCGTGCGCAGTGGTTCTTGGGAGTGGTGGGGCGGGTCCTCCCGGCTGTCAGCTGTGGCCCTAGGCGCTCAGGCCGGTTGGCGGTGGCCATTGGCGGAGGGGGGGGCGGGGCGGCTACACTAGGCCGATCCTGTGGTGTTGAGCAGCTGGCCTGGGAGGCACTGCGCGTGCAGCAGTGGTCGGGCTTGCTGCAGCGATCCGCCTGGGCCCTGGGAAGCAGTGTGCAGCAGCGATCCGGCTTGGCCATGGCAGCAGCGCCTCTGAAAGTGTGCATCGTGGGCTCGGGGAACTGGTGAGCTGCGGCGGGTGGGCGGCGCGGGCTCCGCCTCCAGGAAGCCCCGGTTCCGGGCCGGCCAGGGCTGCTCGCCCCCTGCTTTAGCATGGACACCAGGGCACCGCGGGCAGGCAGAGAGGCGGGCCTGCGATCGCATGTCCCGGTTGGGCACTGCACGCCCAGAGGACACGCCGAGGCACCAGCGCGCGAGGTGCCTGGCGCGGGTGGCCGGGGTGGCCGGGGTGGCAGCGCGCACCGCGCCTGCGGGCACCTGTCTGCGCCCTACCAACCGTGCTGCTATTGGCCACCTGCTCGCCATGCTCGTGGACTTAGCAAAACACCCTGAGGGTGTTCTCCGTTCTCCCCGGCCGGTCACCCGTGGAGGAATCGGTGGAGACCCAGTCGCTCTTACTGCAGTTTTGGTATTGGGGAAACCGAGGCACAGAGGGCAGAAGAGGGTTCTTACTATCTGGGGTGGGCACTGTCCTTCAAGACGCAGTTCTAGCCTCCTCTAGGGACTGATTCTCAATCATGCTAACGTGGTTTCAGGAAGGGGGTCCAAGTCCCCACTGGCCTCACTGCTGGGACGTGCAGGTCCTGAGGGAAGGTGTTTGCAGAGCTTCCGTCTCCAGTGGGCTGGATTTGACTTCGCTTATAAAGTGCTTGATGCTTGGAGGTCTCTCAAACTCACCTCGGTGATACTTAACACAGAAGTTGGGGGTCTTGGTGACAAGAAGGCGGTACATAGTGTTGCTGTGTTCCAGACTTTTCCCGTGGCCCAGGGAGGGAGGTGGAGCTTTTCCTGGCTCCTGTCCCGTTGTTTTCCTGTGGTCTGACTCATGCCACAGTTCAGGCTTCTAGAAGAGGTACAGTGTAGGAGTCCTAGGGGCCATTTGATTGGTCTTAGTCACACTCTTTGAAGACTTGGCTCCGAAAGTACTTTTGGAGGAAACCTTACCTGGCTGTGCTTTTCCATTACGGCTGGGCCGGTGGCCTCTCCCAGGCTCCCATCGCTGATCTCGACCCTTGCATTAGCCTCGCCTTTCAGCTATGTTTCCACTCTCTCCTCATGCCCAGTTCTTTACCTGGTGCCTGGCATATGCTAAATAATGTCTGAAAACTTTTTTTTTTTTTTGAGATAAGTCTTATTGCAGTTCTGGCCTGATACTTGCTGTGTGGACCAAGCTGGCCCACAGAGATCTGAGTGCTAGCATTAAAGGCAAGTCAAGCCCTATCATGCCCAGAGAAAGACTTTATTTTCTTTCTTCTCGAGATTGAACCCAGTGCCTCTGGAGTAGTAGTGAAAGCCCTACCACAGAGGAAACTCCCTGCACCACCCAACCCTCAACATAAAACTATTCTGTTGCTAAAATGCATCCACTCTGCTGCTGCTGAATGGGATCAAGCCCCAAGGCCTCTCTCCTAGGAAGCAGCTCTACTCTCAGCCAGACTCCATGAGTGTTATAGTTGTGGCAGCACTTGCCTGGAGTCCTAGCCCTAGGAGGGTCGGGCAGGGATGTCAGGAATTCCGATTTGTTTTTGTTTTTGTTTTTCTGCGTAGCTTTGGAGCCTATCCTGGCACTTGCTCTGGAGACCAGGCTGACCTTGAACTCATAGATCCCCCTGCCTCTGCCTCCCGAGTGCAGGGATTAAAGGCGTGCGCAGGGATTAAAGGCGTGCGCCACCACTGCCCAGCTCTATTTCTATTTTTTTGTGTTTGTGAGAGTTCCTACAGTAGTAAGAGGACAGCTTTTGGGAGTTCTTTCTTCTGTAGATCTGGGGATTCGACACAGGCCATCAGGCAGGCACTTTCCCTGCAGACTTTTTCCACTACACACTTCTCTGTGTGCTAACCGTTCGGGGTAACAGCAGAGTGTTTTGTGTCACATTAAATGGGACTCCTATATGTCTTCTTCAAAGCTTCACGTAGACCACTTACGATATCAAGGTCACTCACTCCAGAGAGATGTCAGCTGCCTTGCTGGCTCTGCCATTGGGCAAGCACCCACTGGGCACATTTTGTTGTTTTGAGACAGGGTCTCATTTAGCCAAGGTTGGCCTTGTCCTGAACGAGGATGATCTTGAACTCTTGCTCTTCCTGTATCCACCCACCCCCCTGGTGCTAGGCTCACAGACACCTTTCCAGGTTAGGTCCTCCTCTCCAACTCCACGGAGGAGGACAGTCCTTTCCCCAGCTTGTTGGTTGCAGGAATCGGTGGCCCAACTCTGCCATGCTAGGCTGAGCTCAAACAAGGACCATGAAGGGAACCTTTCTGGTCCTTCACAGAGGCTTGGCTGCTAGCCTGGAGCATCTTCATTCTGATATACTTGGCTGTATTCTTGGTCTGATCTGGCTCTGGGAGCGAGAAGAACTTGGCCAGTGACACAGCAATTGAGAAATGTTCAGAAGGTTTGGGCTGGCTGCCTGCCTCCATTAAATACCAGATCAGACAGAAACAGCTGTTGGCTTCACGCCATCGCCTTGGGTACAGAGTCACTCCAGTCCTAGAGAGCGGGTCCCCACTTCCCTGAGAGCTTCCCAATTAGAGGAACTAAAAACAGGAAGGGGCCAGAATGGGGCAGAACGGCTCATGTCTGTAATCCTTGGCCATGAGAAGCTGAGGCAGGAAGACCACTATAAGTAGGCTATCCTGGGCTACATAGTAAGTGGTAGACCAGCCAGAATACAGGAATCTCAAAAAACTAAAGATGCAGTGTTCGGCTCTGAGACAGTATGTACGCCAGTGTTTGCTCTTTGGGGCACCCTGATCTTTAGGGCACCTGCTCTCTTTTCAGGAACTGGACATGGTCTCTACTACTAAGCAACTCAGGTGTGAGATAAATAAGGGCTTAGAAGATTCAAAGATAGAAACTCTGTGAACTCGAGTCTGGCACATGCCTAGATGTTAAATTTTAAACAGTGCCCTCCCTTCCCCTGCTTTTTCGAGACAAGGTTTCTTTGTGTAGCTTTGTAGACCAGGCTGGCCTCCAATTCACAGAGATTTGCTTGCCTCTGCCTCTCTAGTGCTGGGATTAAAGGTGTGGGCCACCACAGCCCCGGCTTTTTTTTAAAGGAAGATTCTCGAATGGCCCAGGCTGGCCTTGAACTCAATACAAAGGATGACTTTGAACTTTTTAAAAAATATATACTGTAGGACTTATATTTATGTAACTTTAAAAAGAAGGTTTTATTATTTTGTGGGGGTGTTTGGCCAGCATCTAAGTCTGTGTACCACATGTGTGCCTGGTGCCCTGGAGGCCAGAAGAGTCAGACATCAGATCCTCTGGAACCAGAGTTACAGTTGAGAGCCACCATGTGGATGCAGGTCCTCTGGAAGAACAGCAATGTTTTTAACCTGAATCATTGCTCCAGCCCTGACTTTGAACATCTGATCCTCCTGCCTCTACTTCCCCAGTGCTAAGACTACAGGCAAGCCACATACTATGAAGATCAGGCTGGACTTGAACCCAGAGCTCTGCTTGCCTCTCTGCCTCCCATTGTGGACACTAGGGTTGCCTCTGCAGCCACACTTACCGAATCATTCCTTAGGAAGGGGCAGTTTTTTTCCAGAAAAGGACTTTAGCCTTTTGCTCACTTTCAAACAGGAGCTGGCCCTTCCTTCCATATCTGGTCCTCACCACAGGAATGTAAATGTTGCTTAAGCATCCTTAACACCAGGGAGGAGTGTTTATATAAACAGAGGTGCAGTCACTTACACATAGATAACTCTCAGGCCAAGTGCCTCCCTCAAACTACCTGACACCAGCGGCTATGAAGGACACAGCTGGGAGAGAAGGTGGGCTAGGTTGGGTACTCTTGTCCTGGATTGGGGGTGTGCTGTCTACTAAACTGGTGACAGAGGCCAGAGGAGCCCTGAACATCCATGGAGCTGCCTGGTGCTGGGGTATTGTCATGAAAAAGCTAGAGAAATCATGGGCAGATAAGATGTCTCAGTGGCTGAAGGCACTTGCCCCTAAGCCTGATGACCTGACTTGAATTTCTGGGTCCCACATAGTAGAACAACTCTCAAAAGTTGTTCTCTATCTCCACATCTGCACCATAGTCTGTCTTCTGTCTCCCCTCCCTCCGCCCCCCCCCCATGCACACACACAAGCTAACTAAATAGGCAAATGTAATAAAAAGTATTAAGAATCATCGTCTCCAACAAAAGCCACCCTCCCAGGTTCCCAGGAGATCCTGGGAAGATCACTCAGGAATAGTGTAAAATACAGACCTCAGGTCATTGCAGAACAGAACATGTGTCCAAAAGCACCACCCTCCCCCTATTCAGGTAGGGTAGGGCAGTAGCTCGAAGAGCAGCTGGGGGCGGGACAGCTCCCTGGGTCTCTCTATCTCAGTTCCCTGCTTGGCAGCAGGCCTTAAACAAACTGCATCTATAAATCCTTATTTAGAATACCAAAGGACCTACTATCTGAGATTAGGGTTGTAATTGCAGGAGATAGAGCATGGTGTCCCAGCCCTCAGTGTCAGCTGTTAGGATCTTAGTTTGCTGTCCTTGACCACAGCTGTGCCTTAGCTGAAATCAGAGGGAATCTACCCAATGTCAGCAGTTAACGGTGTCCTTTAGTTGGGTGTAGTGACTCATCCTTGTAATCCCCACTGTACCAGACTTTCTTTGGGGCCATCATCAGCTCACAAATCATGACAAGGAGACTTATTAGTTTTTTGGAGTTTTTTTGTTTGTTTTTTGTTTTGGTTTTCGTTTTTCGAGACAGGGCTTCTTTGTAGGTTTGGAGGCTGTCCTGGAACTTTCTTTGAAGACCAGGCTGGCCTCGAACTCACAGAGATCTACCTGCCTCTGCCTCCCAAGTGCTGGAATTAAAGGTGTGTTCGCTACCACTGCCCAGCGACTTATTACTTTTGAATGCTTAGCCCAGCTCAGGCACATTTCTGGCTAGCTCTTTTAACTTAAACTTGTTTCCCTGGATCTACCTTTTGCCTCGGGGCTTTTTACCCTCTTTCCATGTATCTTACCTTTCACTGCTTCTCCCGGATG